ATAATTTATTATACTTACATTATATGTTATGTTTGCAATTCTCATGTAGCTATAGATTTCATTAATATATTTGTCAATTATGGAAGATTTTGGAATAGAACAATGAATACTAAGATTTAATATTAATATATTTATCCAAGTTGATATTCTTATTAATCGGTTAAATATGGATAGAACAACAATGGCAATCAAAATACAATATTGAGTTTAACATAACATATCTGATGTCCCCTAACCTTCTATTTGGAGTTTGAGAAATGATCATAATCAAAATCAACTTTACGTTATATATTTATGTTGAGCTGATCTCTGAAGATAATACTATTGTAACTTCATAGCTTCAACCACATTAATGTCATCTTTCTACGAGTTTGTGAAGTTGGATACTTGATGGATATAACGCCTATAGAATACCAATTATGGTTGAAGTGGCGTATGAACTTCGTCAAATGGTGCCAAATATAGAGGTTAGAAATATCATACAAAAAGGAGTTTCAGTTCACGGTATAAATATCATACAAAACGAGTACGTGGTTGGTTGTTTGGGTTACAAATGGACAATAGAGTTTCGAAACTTGGTAAAATAGATAGGTTCAAAGAAAAGAGCATAAAAATAAGAACACACGTGGGTTGGATTTGATAATGGGAGATCATAAGCAAGCAACAAGCCATAGGTATAATAAAGGACATCATGAATACATTTCATGTATCAAAGATTTATGAAAGATTTGAGGTCTGTGGAGCATGTGCTTAGGACTATAATGATCGTGAAGAGTCATATGGGAAGATGCCGGCATATTTGAACGTGTTGTGGGAGAAGAATCTGGGATCTATTACGAGCATTGGGACTAATGAATCAATCTTGCTACATGTACATCTTTCTTTACACCTTGGTTTACCTAATTTGCACTTGGCAAAATCTCACACCACCTTTCACATTTCACACATTTAATCCAACCATCATCCATCTGCCACATCATTCATCTGTAAACCAAGTCGTAAAGGAAGTGGTACAAATAGCTTAACTCCTAATGAATATGGCTAATTCAGGCATCTCTACATGGAATTGGGTGCATCAGTGAAAGGTTAGGAATTTTGTAAGTCTGTTGATCGTTTGAAAACCCGCAAGTGAACGGGGTCGTGATCAAGTAATATAGTAGTGTGTAAAGTGTGGAACCCACGAGAACTACGTGTCTGATCGAGTTAAAGTTAATAATACCCTTAATCAAATAGTAATAATAATTTGTAATAAATCTATGTCTAATTTATCACGTACTATAAATCAAATAAAAGTTTATCAAATTTTTTAGATACATTGTTAAGATGTAGAATCCCCCTCGTCATCCACTTTTAGTTTAATAATTAATTTGACAATTTGTTATCTTTCGAGTTGGTTGACGTTCCAAATTTATTTAAAAGCCTCTCTCGATAGCAATTAAANAATGGTGAATTAAGTGTCGAATTCACGAGGACTACGTGTTTTATCGAGTTAAAGTTAATGATACCCTTAATCGAATAGCAATAGAAACTTGTAATAAATCTATGTCTAATTTATCATGTACTATAAATCAAAATAAAAGTTTATTAAATTTTTTAGATACATTGTTAAGATGTAGAATCTCCCTTGTCATCCACTTTCAGTTTAACAAATAAATTAACAATTTGTTATCATGCGACTTGGTTGAAGTTCCAAATTTATTTAAAAACCTCTCTCAATGGCAATTAAATTTAATCATATACGTGACCTTTTTATATCTCTATAAAAGATACAAACATATAAGAAATCATTAAACGATTAGAACATTTAAAAAAATTATGCGAAGCATAAAGGTATATTTATATCCTCTATCGAATCTCACAATATTTATTACTATATGCTAACGATTCTATTACCTCTCTCAATGATAATAAAATCCACAAACAATTTAACTAGCGGCCAATTAATTGAAAAGCAAACTAAACCATAATAAATATCCACGCATTCAAGCGAATTAACGTCAAAATAATTAATTAAAACTAAAAGTTTCAAAACAAGGATTCATCTATATCTTTAGCAATGTAAAAATCTAGTCTAGCATAATATTGAAATTAA